AACCATAGACTGTTTAGGTTGTAAAGAACGCCTTTAGGGTGTTCTGTGAAAAAAAAATAGTTTGGATTATGTATCATTGTATTGCATATTGATGAGGGCCCGCTCAGGATCTGCTACTATTCTTCAAATATATGTTCTCATCCTGGTTATGAGTTGGTGGCATCACAAACTTCATGGATTTCTTTCCTTTCTGGTGTCTAATAATCTTGAATTTCTGGTTTCACTGGAAGGATAACAACATGCTGGTTAGATACTTCTTCACTTGTCAGTAAATCTAAGTTTTTTGATTTGTTAAAACATTATTGTCTTTTATTTATTTTAGAACTATGGTTAAGCATCTTGATTTTCTTTATTATTCTTTCATGTTTTCTTTTTAGCCCGAGTCTTTGTTTATGCTATGTTTATGATGTAGCAGTTGTGTAATTGTATTTACCTTGCTACTTTTGTTTGTTTTGCAGCAAATCATCAGTGCTTCTTGGACTATCCTTAACTGTTCCTCTCATTATTGCTTGCCTTTCTGTTGCCACACCGATATGGATCCGTAATGGCTATCAGTTTTGGGTTCCACAAGCATCATGTGCAACTCACGCAGGAGACAGTCGACCTTCTGGGACAAAAGAGGTCTTTCTCTTTCTTCCCCCCATCCCCACTTCCCTACTTCTCTCTTAGGCTGCTAAGCATCTAATGTCTATTTAACCAAGAAATGATGTGAGTCCCTCTTCAAATTCCTAATATCCATGAAACATAATAAAATAATACATTTGAAAAAGATCAATTGAAATAATAACAAAAGATTGACTTAGACATTAAGTTTGTACCCATTGATAGACCTTGAATCTGAACTTTTCTTGTTAAGATCTTTTTGTAGGCGTACAAGTTGGTTGTAACTGGATTACTGGGTACTGATTTAGAGGGTGCTTGAGATAGCTAATTTGTTGCTTATTAGCAGTTTTAAGCATTTTCTCTAAGAAAATAAGTGTCTTCTTTTACTTTTCAGGTTCTTATTGTTTCTATCTAGCTAATTTTCATGTTTATTGTTTTCCTATTTTTTAATTATATGTATGATAACACAAGTCATGAAACATTTGTGATAGACATCTATTTTCTATTAATCTTTCGACCAAATACAATTGCTTATTTTTTATAATCATGACTTTATCTCAACACGTAACTGTTTATTTTTAGTTAAGAATTTACCAACTTTAAGCATCAAAGTCCTTTAAGCACATTCCTTTCAACAATAAGAAATTTACCATTATTTGTTCTGCATGTGATATGGGCAGTCCTAGATCAAATCCCATCTAGTACATTTTTTTTAAATGTAACCCACCTACTAAATACCTCTGTTCATATTCTTTCTCTTATTTTTCTGCCACCTGCAGTCAAACTGGTCTTAAGATTTTATTGCTGCAGCTCTTAGAGATATTCGCCATTTTGATGATATGCTTCCTGGCTTTATCCTTTTGCCTTTTTTGTTTTGAAGAGAAGAATATTGAAGGGCTAGATATTGAGAAGGTTAAAGGCAGTAGTTACTAAATTGTAGAATTTTATGTCTCTGCTTTTTCCATGGGGAATAACCAAACATGCAAATGTGCATTCAGATCCCTCAATATAAAATGAACATGATAGATTTAGTTTAATATTTATGAAAAAAGGGGTAACAACATTGCCAAAGTTAAGGCATTTCATCAGTAGAATGTTGCCCATTTTGTGTTTCTTTGTGAGAAAAAAATTGACACAACTGAGTTTTCTTTTTTTCTTTTTTTAATGTTAGAAATCTTTGCTTCTTTTTCTTATATAAAAGGTTCAAAATTATATTCCAAGGTTTTCGACTGAGTTTTCTAGTAGATGTTATTTGAGTTGCTCTATTTTCTTTTATATTTTGTCATGCCTAGCCTAGTAAACACCGTAATCATTGCAAGTGTTGTTTGCATAAATATATTGGTAAAATAATAAGTAGTTTCTGTTGTGAAATTTATTCTGATAATTGTTCTTCGGCTAGTCTGAAGCAGCATGGCTGTTAGTAATGAACTTTTCTAATTTTAGCCATTTTGATTTTGAAGATTACTGGCCAAGGGACTTTTGATTTGGAAGAAAAGATAGCTTTGGCCAAAAGACATATCATTCTCTCCTCCTTAGTGTTTCCTTATCTGGTTCAGATGTTTTAATCTTATTCTAACTAGTTCTTTAGTATTTTTCAGAGAGTCGTTCTTTTCATCTGCATAACATTATTTGCTGGATCTGTATTGGCTCTGGGAGCAATTGTATCTGCAAAGCCTTTGGAAGACTTGCGATATAAGGGATGGACTGGCAACCAGAACAGCTTCACCTCTCCTTATACATCATCTGTCTACCTTGGTTGGGCGATGGCATGTGCAATTGTTTTAGTAGTTACTGGCGTGATGCCAATTGTTTCATGGTTTGCGACATATCGGTTCTCCCTATCTTCTGCTGTATGTGTTGGAATATTCTCAGGTACTTTTTTCTGTATTTTCTTTTCTTCAATTTCTGGGTCTAGTACGGGAACCGTTTGTTGCTTCTGAATTAAAATTCTGTTTTGAGTTTGTTTGAGATGTAAATCCTTCAAATTCCTTCCGCTGCTGCTTTTGTAGTTGTTCTTGTCACATTCTGTGGTGCATCATACTTGGAAATTGTCAAATCTAGTGCTGACCAGGTCCCTACAAAGGTTGATTTCCTTGCTGCTTTGCTTCCGTTAGCATGTATTCCAGCACTTCTATCACTTTGCTGTGGATTACTCAAATGGTGAGCAAATCATATCTGATCTCCATTCATTAATTAAACTGCACATCCCCCATGCAATAGATTTGGCCTTTTATTTATGTGATATATGTTTGTTCACCTTTTTCTTGCTGTGGTAATCATTTGCAGGAAAGACGACGATTGGAAACTCTCTCGAGGTGTATATGTATTTGTTTTCATTGGTCTTCTTCTTTTGCTTGGTGCAATAACAGCTGTTATAGTTGTAGTTAAGCCTTGGACGGTGAGTAAGAGTTACATATATAGTTGTATTTATCATGATTCTTGTCAGAGTCATACCTGATTTGATTTCTGCTTTTTAATCTCAACAGGTAGGGGTAGCTTTCCTTTTGTTCTTCTCCTGATTGTGCTGGCAATTGCTGTTATCCACCATTGGGCATCAAATAATTTCTATTTAACTAGGACACAGATGTTCTTTGTTTGCTTTATTGCTTTTCTTTTGGGTCTGGCAGCATTTCTTGTTGGATTATTTCGAGGTTAGCTCAGATATCATTATCCTTTTAACTCTTTTGTTTACGCCGTTCATTGTGGGCAGACCTGCTATATCACCTTCCATTTGTTGATGATGCACTAAACTTTGTTCTTCAGATAAACCGTTTGTTGGAGCATCTGTTGGTTATTTTTCTTTCCTGTTTCTTTTGGCTGGAAGAGCATTGACAGTGAGTTATACACTATACTGACCTAATTTATCTTGCAATTTTCTTATCTATTACTTCTTTTTCTTCGATTTTGCAGTTTCTTCTAAATGCTTGTTTCTTTGTAGGTTCTTCTTTCCCCTCCCATCGTAGTTTATTCTCCGCGAGTCCTCCCTGTATATGTATATGATGCTCATGCAGACTGTGGGAAGAACGTCAGGTATGTTGAAATATTGTTTTTTCATTTCATCTTTATGTTCAGAAATCTTTATTCATTGTCATGCATTTTCTTCTACTTTTTTGTAATTAGCTGTATATATTGGACTGTATTAATCTTTTATTCACACACATCAATCTCTTGGCAGTGCTGCATTTCTTGTGCTTTATGGCATTGCTTTGGCAATTGAAGGCTGGGGGGTTGTTGCTAGTTTAATAATTTATCCACCATTTGCTGGTGCTGCTGTATCTGCAATCACTCTTGTTGTAGCCTTTGGCTTTGCTGTCTCTCGACCTTGTCTGACTCTTAAGGTTTGGTTCCACCATGTTTCACTTTGGTTTTGTTTTCTGCAACAAAGCTTTCTTTTTTTGTTGATTAAGGCGGCATTGCTCGAGAGACATTCTCTTCTCTCTCCCATGCCCCTCTCTCCCATCTTCCTCCCCTCCCATGCCCCTTCATGGAGCCTTGCTTCTTCAGCGGTTTTTTTCTTTTTCTTATCATTATTATAACTTCTAAAGAGCCTCTCTTCTTGAGTTAATTCTGTTGTTACCTCCAGATGATGGAAGATGCTGTTCATTTTCTCAGCAAGGATACTGTTGTTCAAGCAATTGCTCGTTCTGCAACAAAGGTGTGTTTGTTGTGTGAAAATTGATTTTCTGACTTCATTCTTATATGCTTTTGAATGTGATTGCTGTAATTTAACAATAGAAGCTAGCAAGGAATGACATTAGTCTTGCGGTCGCAAACTTGCCAACAATGTCCCGGCAATGCACACATTTTGCTCCGTGTTGTATTTGCAAATTAGTTGGAAGATTTTGTTCTCTCTAACTTTTACATTTAAATACTAGAAAAAATACTGCAGTTAAAATTTAAACAGAAAAGTAAACTTTTGAAAGTACTACTGCTCACATTCTGGTTCATGTAATCTTTGCAAATATGGATGGAGCCTGGAAGTAAGTGAGCATGAACAAGGAGCTGAAATTATATTTATTACTTTTGACAGATTTCCCCTGTTGCCTTTTTTTCGGTGATGTTTGAATTATACTTGGAGTGAATAGCTTGTTTTGCAACTAAATCTTGGCATGAAAGATAGTTATTTTCTAATGCATTTAGTATTTCAGTTGCTAATGCTCAAAGAGAGAATAGCTGAGGAAAAACTTAATGTCAAGAATGGACTGAATTTAGTTGCAATAGATTCTGATGTTGTTGATTTTGCATGTTAATTTTTAATTCTTACAAAAAGGCCAAACTACATTCCACTCCATGTAGTTTGGTTAGTTGCAGTTCAATTTTTGTGGTTTTCTGTGACAGTTCCATACCTCGTAGTTTGATTTTTATATCATTATGCATAAAATTATTTCCTTTTTTAGCATATTATCTTGTAACCTTCAGGTCTTATTTTGCCCTCAATTTTGATTTTGTTTAGCTTTGGACTTTCGTTTAGTATTCTCTTAGAAGTAATGGTTTTGTTTAAAATACAAAACCCTATAGGTTGAACTGTAATTAGGATAAACCACAGAGGGAGAAATTGTACTTTGTCTCGAAGCAAGCAAATTGTCAGAGCAGGGAACGACATAGCTTTTATGTATGGCATGGTGTTCTCAAATAGATGCAGAAATAACTAAGCAAAATATTTTTCAAAGAAATGCTGCTTATATTGTTTTGTGAGTTTGACAGTAGAATGAGGAAACATCAGTTTATGCCATGATATCAAAAGAACTTGATAGACCTTCCTGAATTCCAAAGAATTTTCTCATCCCAGTTTACCTCTCAGTCTTACTATTTGCACATATTAAGACAATGTTGACTTGGATTCTTTTCCTACCAAAATTTGCAATTGGTCTAAGGAAGTGTTCTTTGTGTCTCTTTAGGCAGAGGCCCACGGGTTTTCTGGCAGCTGCCTCTTTATCTACTTTGCGAAAGGATGGAGTTGTTATTTTGTCCTGATATTTTTGCATTCTCTCATTTTATTTTCATTATTGGTAATAATGTTTTATCTTTCTAATAGTGCTCCTTTTATAATTGTCAAACTTTGGCAATCATTTTGGGTTGAATTAGGTGAAAAGTTGGTACTTAATCCCTGAGCATAAATTATTTGATTATTTGATTTTAAGAATCAAGATATAACTACACGTGAGTTGAACATGCTAAGAGATGTATGTCCATCGTTTATAGTGTGCCGAAAAGAGATAGTTATTGTGAGTTATTAAATTTTTCTTAGTTTTTGCTTTATTTTTATTTTTAATCTTTTCTTTTTTTCTGTGAGTTTTACCTTAACCATTTTCGGACTTTTTCAGAAATTTTAACTATGGGTTTCTTTTGCTTGTATGCAGACCAGAAATGCTTTATCTGGAACTTATTCAGCTCCACAGAGGTCTGCTAGTTCAGCAGCTCTTTTGGTTGGAGATCCCACTGCTATGCGTGATAAGGCAGGAAATTTTGTGCTTCCCAGAGATGATGTTTTGAAACTAAGAGATCGTCTAAAAAATGAAGAGTTGGTTGCTGGATCATTGTTCTGCAGAATGAGATATGGAAAGAGGTTTCGCCATGAATCTTCCTGTGATGTAGACTACAGGAGAGAAATGTGTGCTCATGCACGAATTTTGGCTTTGGAAGAGGCAATTGATACTGAGTGGGTCTACATGTGGGATAAATTTGGGGGTTATTTACTTCTCTTGCTTGGTCTGACAGCTAAGGCTGAACGAGTACAGGTGAGCTATTCCTATGTGCTTCAGCGAATGGTGTCTTGTGTTTTGTTGCTAACAAGGACAATACCGTTGTAGGATGAGGTGCGCCTCAGACTGTTCCTTGATAGCATAGGATTCTCAGATCTAAGTGCCAAGAAAATTAAGAAATGGATGCCAGAGGACCGGAGGCAGTTTGAAATTATCCAGGAGAGGTTGTGACTTCTTGCCATGTTTTGCTTCATTTTCGTCCAAGATACTCTACCTTTTTTTTATGATTTATATATACTTCAAGATATATACTCTACCCATTTTACTATGTTTCAATGTACTCCATCCATTTGGTATAAATACACTTTTCCTTTTTTTCTTTTAAATTATAGTTATCTAAGAGAAAAGGAGATGGAAGAGGAAATCTTGATGCAGAGGCGGGAAGAGGAAGGAAGAGGTAAAGAAAGGAGGAAGGCTCTACTAGAGAAGGAAGAACGCAAATGGAAGGAGATTGAAGCTTCTCTTATTTCATCTATTCCTAATGCTGGCAGCAGGGAAGCAGCAGCTATGGCAGCTGCTGTGCGAGCAGTAGGAGGTGACTCTGTACTTGAGGATTCTTTTGCACGAGAAAGGGTTTCAAGCATCGCTCGTAGGATTCGCAATGCTCAGTTAGATCGCCGCGCTCAACAGGTTGGTATTTGGCTCATGATTGGTTTGTCAAATATGTTGTTCTCTGGGTGTTGGTGGATTTATTCTTATATATTTGAGAGTGTCTTAAGATACTATTCGATTCTCACTGTTATCCTTTTTTCCTGATATATGCATCATATCTGTGCTTTTCTATATATTTGTAAATTGTTCAATCATGAGATTGCTAACTGTTATTATTTTTTTTTTAAGACTGGAATTACGGGTGCCATTTGTGTTCTTGATGATGAACCAACAACAACTGGTAGACATTGTGGCCAGATTGACCAAAGTGTATGCCAAAGTAAAAAAGTTAGCTTTTCAATTGCGGTGATGGTCCAACCGGAGTCTGGACCAGTTTGTCTAATAGGCCCAGAATTTCAAAAGAAAGTATGCTGGGAAATTCTAGTTGCTGGCTCTGAGCAAGGTATTGAGGCTGGGCAAGTTGGACTTAGGTTGATTACAAAGGGCGATAGACAGACAACTGTAGCAAAAGAGTGGAGTATAAGTGCAACAAGTATTGCCGATGGAAGGTTTGTGCAATATTTGCTGTGTTTTTTTTTTTTTTTTTCAGAGGTCTGGAGTTACTGCTTTTTTGTTTTCTCCTTCAATATTCTTTTCAATTTTCATCGTGAATTTATAGGGAATGCATGTGCCTAAGGCAGGTTTTATACATTTTTCTTTCTGGGGATCATTATATAGAACCATACTTCTTCCTCCAGATTGTAATTCATATGGAATTTCCTACTCGCAGGTGGCATGTTGTGACAATGACAATTGATGCCGATCTAGGGGAGGCAACCTGCTACTTGGATGGTGGTTTTGATGGTTACCAAACAGGGTTACCCTTGTGTGTTGGCAATAGCATTTGGGAACAAGGGACTGAAGTTTGGCTTGGTGTTAGGCCACCTATAGATGTGGATGCTTTTGGGAGGTCGGATAGTGAAGGAGCTGAATCTAAAATGCACATAATGGATGTCTTTCTGTGGGGAAGGTGCTTAAGTGAAGACGAGATTGCTTCTCTTCATGCTGCAATTGGCTCAGCTGAGTTCGATTTGATTGATTTCCCTGAAGATAATTGGCAATGGGCAGATTCACCTCCCAGAGTATTGGCCTAAATTTTATTTAGCATATCTCGTCATGATTATTTATGCTAAGATTTTGGAAGGTAGAAGTAGATATGTCACATGTTTCTGATTTAATGTGTTTCTTTCAGGTTGATGAGTGGGATAGCGACCCTGCTGATGTTGATCTTTATGATAGAGATGATGTTGATTGGGATGGGCAGTATTCAAGTGGAAGGAAGAGAAGGTCTGATCGTGATGTAGTGGTCAGCATGGATTCTTTTGCTAGGAAGTTTAGGAAACCTAGGATGGAAACACAAGAGGAGATAAATCAACAAATGCTCTCTATTGAGTTGGCTGTGAAAGAAGCCCTCTCTTCCCGAGGTGAAAAACATTTTACTGATCATGAGTTCCCTCCAAATGATCAATCTTTATTTATAGATCCAGGAAATCCCCCTTCAAAATTGCAGGTATTAATTTTCTGGACTACTGCTTTTCCTGTTTTATATGGTTATTTCTTTGTTGTCCAAAATTTGTCTTGGTTCCCAATAGGTTGTTTCTCAGTGGATGCGGCCTGCTGACATTGTGAAAGAGGGTCGAATTGATTCTCAGCCATGTTTATTTTCAGGGGCTGCAAACCCGTCTGATGTTTGTCAGGTTTGGGTCTCTTGGTGGCATGTTTATGAAATTTCTATTAAGTCATTTGTGTTATCTTACATTCATTTGGAGTATTTTTAATTACTGTTATTGTCTACCAAAATAGGGGCGGTTAGGTGATTGTTGGTTTTTAAGCGCCGTCGCTGTCTTAACTGAGGTTTCACAAATATCAGATGTGATTATTACTCCAGACTATAATGAGGAAGGAATCTACACTGTTCGCTTCTGCATTCAGGTAATGATCCTTTTTCACATGAACATTGATTTGCCTAGACAGAATATGATTTCATGTGTGAAAAAAAGTAAACACTTGATGATTTGTATTTAGATAGTCTTTCATTGCCAACTGAGTTCAAGGGCTACTTTGTCATGGTTGGAGAATACAGGGTTAATGGCACTGTTTTCACTTCACGTTTGATTTATAATGTGATAGGATGAAGCCAGAAACTTTTTCAACACTGAGATATGACGAAATATAAACAGTTGAATAATTTATTAGATGTTTTGGTCTAGTACAATGTCTTTTTGTTAAAATTATGTGAGCTTTTGCTGGATTCAATTTCTTGTTTCCTGATTATGTACTTTTGGATTTATATGTTTATAAAATAGCTACCTTAAACATATATGATTAATAGTTTCCTTTGCCTTATTGTAACATGCCTACAAATTGCATTTGTGTTTAATAACCTGTCTGCGATCTATACGTAGGGAGACTGGGTTCCAGTTGTTGTGGATGACTGGATCCCATGTGAATCACCTGGCAAACCAGCATTTGCCACAAGCAAAAAGGTTAATGAACTTTGGGTCTCCATACTGGAGAAAGCATATGCCAAATTGCATGGTTCTTATGAGGCATTAGAGGGCGGCCTTGTTCAGGATGCTCTTGTGGACCTAACCGGAGGGGCTGGTGAGGAGATTGATCTGAGGAGCGCACAGGCACAGATTGATCTTGCAAGTGGCAGGTTATGGTCTCAATTGTTACGCTTCAAACAAGAGGGGTTTCTACTTGGTGCTGGGAGTCCATCAGGTTCTGATGTGCACATCTCTTCCAGTGGCATTGTGCAAGGGCATGCTTACTCGGTGCTACAGGTGTGCTGAATTTTCTGGCTATCTTTTTTCATAGCAGGTGATGAATTTCAGTTAAGGTAATTATTTACCAATTTGTTATTTAGGTAAGAGAGGTAGATGGGCACAAGCTTGTCCAAATTCGAAATCCATGGGCTAATGAAGTTGAGTGGAATGGTCCTTGGTCTGATTCATCCCCTGAATGGACTGATAGAATGAAACACAAGCTAAAGCATGTTCCTCAGGTAGCTTTCTATGTTCTTTCGCATTTGGAAGTGTCCAAGTATTTTGTTCGTTTTTTCTCCTTTCTTTTGCTTCCCCCTGCTCTTTTGGCTTGGCGTGCTTCTTGCTTTATTCTTGATTTGTGAATGATGTGAAGATTATTAACCAAGTTTTTCTTGTCAATGATATAAGTTGTCATTTGATTAATTTTTCCTATTCAACAGTCCAAAGATGGTATATTTTGGATGTCTTGGCAAGACTTTCAAATTCACTTTAGATCCATATATGTTTGTCGTGTCTATCCTCTGGAGATGCGATATTCTGTTCATGGCCAATGGCGGGGTTACAGTGCTGGTGGCTGCCAAGATTACAATTCATGGCATCAAAATCCACAGTTCCGTTTGAGGGCCACTGGTCCTGATGCATCATCGCCAATTCATGTGTTCATCACCTTAACTCAGGTAATCTCAGAAGCTTTGGGCGGAGTCGTATCAGTAGTAGCCTTTTCTGATCAAATTTTATCTTTAAAGTGAAAACTTATGACGATTTGCATGTACAGGGTGTGAGCTTTTCGAGAACAACTGCTGGTTTTAGAAATTATCAATCTAGTCATGACTCCATGATGTTCTACATTGGGATGCGGATACTTAAAACTCGTGGCCGTCGTGCTGCTTATAACATTTACCTTCATGAATCAGTTGGTGGGACTGATTATGTCAATTCTCGGGAAATATCATGTGAAATGGTTCTGGATCCTGATCCAAAAGGTTATACTATAGTGCCTACAACCATACACCCTGGGGAAGAAGCACCTTTTGTCTTGTCTGTTTTTACCAAAGCATCGATTACCTTGGAAACTTTGTAGACTGCAATTATGGCTCTCAAGTTGGATTTTCATTCCCCGGGCTTTGTTTGCACCTTGAAAACATTGTGGTGCTTGGTTTTGTGGTTAATCTACAATCACAAGCAGGCTTCATTGAACCGAGTCAGTGCAACAGGCAGGTCTTCTTGAACCACAAATGAGTGCAAACAATGATCAAGTAAGCTTACTAAGTAAGTGTATTCTTTTTTCTTTCTTGTTCTTTAAATAAAAGAAGCTCAACCATAGGTCAGAGGAAAATTTGGAAAGAAAAAGAATAATAAAAGCAAACTCTACTTTGTTTTGGATGATTGACCAGAGCTGTGAATGAATCCACAAGTAGGCTTATCTTTGAATTATAATTTACACTCTTTTCAAAAATTAAATCTTATACTGTTAGTCGATGATTTAAGGAAATAAATTTACAGGTTGATAAACATCATTTTATACATTTTTGTTTTCCTAGTGAAATATCACTCCAAATTTTTTATTTAGCTTACAAGCTAGTGACTCAGTCTGAATGTTTTCTTGACAGCCATTCGTGATGTGGTTCTCGGCTTCCAGAATGCCCTGGGTGAGCAATTCATTTGCCCACTTAATCGTATGCTACATTCCTCAATGAGCTGCATTATTTTTATCCAGGCAAAAGAACTCGTGGCAGGGAAGTGAGTTTAGAGGCTCCCTTGGCCTCTAATTTCATTTTTTTTTTCTTGATAACCTTACTATGTGGATCGTTTCCATCTGGATTGAAGAGGGTTCTCAACTTAAGTGTACATTTTGTAGGTATTGTAGTGATTATAGGTCTGATCATGTAAATGTAGGAGAAAGGAAAATTGGAGAGGAATAGGAAAAATAATTTAACCAGTGCCTAGTTCAAGGGAAAATACAGGAGAGAGCAAGTAGCTGGAGAAATGTTGATAGTTTCAGCTGCAGTTTTGTAATCTGAACATTCAGTGTCTGTATAAATGTTTTTCTTTTGTAATATAAAATTTCATTCTGGTATCTTATTGTCAACCTTTGTCATCCATCTATGGCTTTGATCATTTTGCATTTATCAGTTTCTGGTTTAACAACTCAGTGTTAAACAAGAACCAGATACTAAAGCTAATCATACTGGAAATCGATATTCTATATGTTGATAAACGTTTTCGATGGATCGATACAGATAACCTTTGTGGGGTAAGTAAATGCAGAATGTTGAACAACTAAGTCAAATCTGTCAGATCGCCATAACTCAAAATTCCAAAATAGAGAAACAAAAAATAGAAAAAGAAAAAAGTTAAAAAAAAGGAAAGTGACATTCTTATCCCTACAACACTGGAATCAGGTTGTATTCTTATCATAACACCAAATCTAAAGTTTGATTGAGAAAACTCTTTCTAGAGGTAAAGCATCTGTGGTTACAGACGCTAATCAACAGGGCTGACATATTTTCATTGAACCTGTGAAACAAAAACATAAATAGAAAGCAGCTACAGCCTCGAGTATATAGAACTATTTTACTTGGAACAAACATAATTAGCCCAAACAGAAATTGTTACAAGAGATTTTTATTTCCCAGATTTTCAAGTGTCATTGCCATTTTCTACAAAGACAAACAAGATACAGCTCCATATTCCCTCAAAATAGAAAAAGATTCTATGTCTCTTGCTGTCTTTTCTAGCTAGCAAAATTTCCTGTTCTTTCAGTCTGTATCACTTTCCATGCTCCCCATAGCTTTCAATCCTCTAGGCCTCTGCATAAACCACACACATAAAATATGTATCATCATTGAGAATCAGAATGTTACTTTGCCAAGAAAAAAAAAAAAAAGAGACCACGCCTCCATGAAACCATATTTTGATTTGAAGGTTAATGGAGGATACTTTTCAATGGTTCTGAAATCCCATAAAGTAATTTTTTAAAGAACTTATAGTGCTCCATTTTGTTATTCACCAGAATTTCTTAAGCAGAAATTTGGAGAGAACCAATAAAAGGCAGTGCAACAAGGAATCAAACAGATAAGAGTGAAGTATAAAGAAAGAAAGAGAAAGATGGTAACGAAATACCTTCTTTGAAGTTTTCTTCTCCCTTACTTCATATCTCTCTTGACAGAGGTCAGATAACCATGCCCCTGGACTCACCAACTGCACCCACAACACAAAAGGGGAAACTACACTATCAAACACCAAACCCATTCCACAAATTGCATAAACTTTCTTCTCTGTCACTCAAATTGCAATAAACTTACAAGTAAGCTTCTTTGGATCAACTTGGCTCTTTTTTTAGGTCTTTGAGGGAGCTTACACCCTTTCATAGCCATAAAATCCTCTTCCTTTTCTTTGCTAGATAATGTGGTAAAGAGCTTTGGCCAAACGAAGGCTTTATTTTCCTTTAGACTATCCAGCAAAACCTTTTCATTATCATCCAAACCAGAAGAACCCCTGGTTGTGTAGTACCTCTCTTCCTTCTCAGGAGAAGCCACAGATGGTTTTCTATTGTTCATTGGTAAATCTGAATTCCTGCCACCAAACAAACCCAGAAAGAAGAAAAGAAAAAGAATAAGCACTTTACTGGTATACATTCCATCATATTAACCACCTAACGATCAACGATTTGACAAGCAAATGAGCATCATATCTTATGCAGCAAAACAAGTGAAATTTTCTCTATAAAACACATAAAAAGTAGGGAAGAGAACTGTTCAACTTGCAAGGAAATATATCCAAACTCTTCATACTTTCTCCACTAAGAAAAGAAAAAAATCTGAATCTGGGTTTGTAATAACTTACCTATTTGGACGATTGGCCTGTGAAGAGGGAGATTTCTTCTCAAAAAAGGAAACACGAGAGCCGATTTTCTTCTTAGCCAAACTGTCCACTGACTTCTTACCAAAGTTTTGGTCTTTCTTCACTTTCATGCATCTAACCCTTTTCCTGTCTCCCCACTGCAATAGAAAATCTACCTCTGCTCTATTCCCTCCTTGATTCTTCCCTTCTTTCTCCATCTTATATATTTCTCTATAAATAAAACTTTCTGTAACCAACGAAAATATATCAGAGAAACACAATAAAGAAAAATTTTTTTTAAAAAAAAAACTGAAGTTAGGGAAACCACAAGAGAATAACAAAATTTGCTACTCATATAGCTATAAACATTACTTATTAGAACACAGTGGAAACCAAAAGAAAAGCAAATGGTAAGTAGGTCTTTTAGTTTTTTTTTCTTCTTCCTCGTTTTTTCCCAGTGATGAAACTAAAAAGAAAGCGAAAAAGAAAGCAGAAGATTTGATGAAAACTTCGGCATTGGATAGCAAAAAACTTACCGCTGACCTCAAGATCTGTGGCTAAAAAGAATTGAACTCTTCAGAAACTTACCCCAGATTAGCCTGCATTTAAATATGCATCAACAACAAACTATCAATGAAACTAAAATCAAAGAAAACAAAACACGGGAAATTCTCTGTTTGGTCGTGGAGGAATTTAAAAAAAAAAAAAAAAACAGGTGTAAACTAAGAACCCAAATAAAACTGCCGAATCAAGATTTTGAATCAGTTGTCAAACAAACACAGCCATCAGTACAGTCCTCTTAATTTTCTCAGAAACCAAACAAAGAAAACAGTTAACTGCAAATAGAAAGAGAAAGAGAAAGAGACAAGGCTCATTACAAGGAGGAAACTTCACTACACAAAACACAAGTTTGAGACATAAAAGCTCCCTCTTTTCTCGCCAATAAAAAACCAAAATTTTCCCGAGTAAACCAGAGAGAATCACAGATGAATAGCTTCAGATTCCTGGGTCTGTTTTAACTCATGAGCTTGCCAGATGAAAGAAACCAAAAATCAGAACTTTTGTGTCATCTTCACCAAAAACTCTCCATGTTTTCTTCTCTCACAATTTCACCCTTATAATTTGTTTTGTTTAGTGTTGCCCATTTGGGTTTTTTTTTTTACCAATTTTTTTCAGTTGAAGTTAATTTATTAAGTGAAATAAAATGATTTATCATCAACCGTCTGATGAGATTTGAACGGTCAGATGAGCTTCCCTCCAAATTGCTTTGCCTCTTGGGTCAATGTCTGGAAGAGTTATAATAAATTAGGGTAAGTCTGAATATTTAAAAAAATTAAAAATTTTATATTCAATTAACGAAATATATAAAAATTTAATTAAAAATAAATTTTAACTTCAATTTATTTATTTTATAACTCATTATAATTATTCTAATCAAATAAATTTACCCTATTTATTTCGTATATAAATATAATAAATTTATTAAAATTTAACTTAATTTAATCGTAATAATTTTATAAATATTTAAATTAATTAATGATTTGATTATTAATTTATTAAAAAATTGTGTTAAAAATAAATTAAAAAATATTAAGAACTTTTTTAAAAAAATTACATTAAATTTTAACTCATTACAACTAATTTAATTAAATTTTTTTTAATTATTTTGAATCATTTTTTATTTAATTATTATAATTTTATTAATTAAAATTAATTAATTAATTTAATAATATTTTGTGAATATATTCCTGCCTGCCTTCTTGTCCAAATCCACAGATGCAAATAAGCCCATTGTTTTAATTAATTAATTAATTAATTAATTAACATCAGAACAAATATATACATATATATATATATATACATACATATAAAATCATATTTATTTTAATTAAATTTATTAAATAAAAAAAAGTAGAAACTTTATTATTTTAATAATTTAGAGAAGACGTAAAGTAATTATAATTTAGAGTAATTTATTTTCTAATATTTATTTATTTATTTATTTTTTCAGATATAAATAAACTCTTATTTATAATCTCTCGTTATATATAGAGAAGCAAGTTCAGCTTCAGTTTCATCGCCGGGAGCCGGTGGAGCCATCGTGGGCGTCGCTCTCGTTGCCACACTTCCTCACTCTCCTCACTTAGAGCAAGGAGGAAAAGAGGGTATCTAACATCTCTTCAAGTCCCCAGAGCGAGATATATATATATATATATGTATCTCTCTGTGGGTGTGTGTATGGATTTTTGATCTGGTTTTTTGATTGCATTGATTCTGCTTCTTCATCTGATTTCGATTCATTGGGGGCTAATCATCAATGCCCACTTTATATCATTCGCTTTATCATGAAACCCAGCTGTTCTTTTTGTTTGTTTGTTCCTTCTTTTACGTCTTGCCGTCTAGTGATTGTTTTATGAGAACCCAGATTTTTTCCTTTAAGGAATGTAATTGGGATAGAATATTCTGTAAGTCTCTGATTAAAGTTTCTTATTTTGCATTTCAATGGTGTTACTTTTTTTTTTTTTTTTGTGTTCGAGGAGGATGGGGTGATTTCCTCCACCTTCTGGATATGATTTTTCTCCGATCTCTTGGATTTTCTTCCCATTAGTTGCCGAGACACTGAGATTCAAAGATGAAATTTAAGCTCTTGGTTTATGAGTTAAGCACTTGTTAGTGGGAAATTCCGTTGCATAATCAACAAAGGCTCTACATTTCCGTGTGTTGAGACTTGGTTAATTTCAAGTTTTCCCATCGGACGTTCACCCATCAAGTCTGTGTAAATTGCATAACTCGTTTTGCTTGAGTACTTAGGTTTCAGCTGCTTATATGATAGTTTGCTCATCAAATTTTTACTCTTTTTAATAGTTTGGCAGAATATTTTGTTAGATCCGAGCTGAAATTTCTATTGGAGGTTTCCTACCCTAGTATTGTTTGCTAGCCTTTGTTAACAGTAATGCGGGTCTGATATTTGTGTTATTTCTTGTCTCAATTTTCAGTTTCAAGGGCGTAAACTCATTGAAATACTGTAACCATGGATGTGGATAACAAGTTCTTTAATATGGGCCTTCTCATTCTGGCCACTATCGTCGTGGCCAAGCTTATCTCTGCCCTTGTGATGCCCAGATCTAGCAAGCGGCTGCCTCCAGTTGTTAAGTCATGGCCGTTGGTTGGTGGCCTTCTTCGCTTCATGAAGGGACCAATCATAATGCTCCGCGAGGAGTACCCCAAGCTGGGAAGTGTATTTACATTGCCCTTGCTTAACAAGAAAATTACATTCTTTATTGGGCCTGAAGTGTCAGCACATTTTTTTAAGGCTTCTGAGTCTGACCTTAGCCAGCAGGAGGTGTATCAGTTCAACGTGCCAACTTTTGGCCCAGGAGTGGTATTTGATGTGGATTACTCTATCCGGCAAGAGCAATTCCGGTTCTTTACAGAGGCTTTAAGAGTTAACAAGTTGAAAGGGTATGTGGATCAGATGGTCACGGAGGCAGAGGTAAGAATCTAGCACAAGATTCTGGATTTGGACATTCATTGTTTGGCTATTTAATTTAAATCATGCATCCTGTTCTATAGCTGATGAATGCATATTGAAAATCCTGAACATACTATATTGATGGAAAGCATTCATGGCCAGGAAAATAAAAGCCGAGGATGGTTAAAATTTATGGAGAAACTTAAGTTGTATGTAGTTGGAAAGAAATGTCAGTTGAGTATAGGTGTTTTTATTTAAAAATCATGTCCTCAAATTAGTTTGAAGACATCTTGGAGATCAGCATAGTTATTTCTGGATGGGGTTCAGACATGTAATGTGGATATTAATAAATAACCCCTGTAGGTCCGGAATGGTATATGCCTTTATGTCAGTGCATGAATCCCTTCAAAAAAAAGATAAAGTATGCATCCATATGTACTTTCTGGATGTTCTATCATTTATGATAAAAATGCTCCTGATAATATTTCAAAAATACACGAGATAGAGAAAAAAAAATGCACAGAATTTAATGTGGTTTACAATGTGCTTATTTCACATGGCATTTGCAAATTTTCTTTCTTTTTTGCCATTAATGAATTAAATTGTATAACTAGGGTTATTGCAATAAATCAGAAACCATTCTAGCCCAAAAATAGCTTTGCTGGACTCTTTGGGGCACAGTTATCCACTCAACATAATTTGGAGATTATTTGGCAGCTAATGTTGGAACTCCATTTCTCTAATTTTCATGTCATCATTCTGAAATTGGGCAGGATTACTTCTCAAAATGGGGAGACAGTGGCGAAGTGGACCTAAAGTATGAATTGGAACACTTGATCATCTTGACTGCTAGTAGGTGCCTCTTGGGTCGAGAAGTTCGTGATCAACTTTTTGATGATGTGTCTGCCTTATTCCATGACCTTGATAATGGTATGCTCCCTATTAGTGTCATCTTCCCGTATCTGCCGATCCCAGCTCACCGCCGCCGTGATCGTGCTCGTAAGAGGCTTGCAGAAATCTTTACAAGCATAATAGCATCTCGTAAACATGCTGGCAATTCAGAGAATGACATGTTACAGTGTTTCATTGACTCAAAGTACAAAGATGGTAGGCCCACAACAGAAGGAGAGGTTACTGGCTTACTCATTGCTGCTCTCTTTGCTGGACAGCACACCAGTTCCATCACTTCCACTTGGAGTGGTGCATATCTCCTCCGCCATAAAGAGTACTTATCTGCCGTCGTGGAGGAGCAAAGAGAATTGATAGAGAAGCATGGGAAGAAGGTTGATCATGATGTCTTGTCTGAGATGGATGTACTATATCGGTGCATCAAGGAGGCCCTAAGACTTCATCCCCCATTGATTATGCTTTTGAGGAGCTCACACAGTGACTTCAGTGTGAAAACCCGGGATGGGAAAGAGTACGACATTCCAAAGGGTCATATTGTTGCAACATCTCCAGCATTTGCCAACCGTCTTTCTTACATCTATAAAGATCCAGATAGGTATGATCCTGATAGATTTGCTGCTGGGAGAGAAGAAGACAAGGTGGCTGGGGCATTCTCCTACATTTCCTTTGGAGGTGGTAGGCATGGATGCCTCGGCGAGCCCTTTGCATATTTGCAGATAAAAGCTATTTGGAGCCATTTGTTGAGGAACTTTGAGTTGGAGCTGATATCACCATTTCCTGAGATTGACTGGAATGCCATGGTTGTTGGTGTGAAAGGAAAGGTGATGGTGCGCTACAAGAGACGTCAGATTGCTTAATAAGTGAAGGAAATTATGGACAGTTGGCAGGTTAATGTAGGAGTAGGATGTTACTGTTACCTCTCTTTCATGAATTGATTTTATTGTCGTTCTTCTGGTTACTAGAGAAGTTTTCGGATCTTTTGTTGGCTTGCGGCCTTTTGCTTAGCATTCATAAATTTATCATTCAAGTAGCTTGTAACAGAATTTTGATTCTGTCTTCAAATCCCAGCTGCTGAAAACCTGTGATATGTCTTTGGAGTTCAGTTCCAGTTCATTTTAGATGTTTAGTTATCTTGATGTAATCCTGGCAAGAACTGAGTCTTTAAATTGATGAATTTTTGTATCAGACAGTTTTGTGATTGCTCCTAATTTCTCTGCAGCATATTATTGTCCTATTAGAGCTTTTTTAATCTTCCCTTCGTACATCATTAGTTAAAAACAAACATGTATGTAGAACTATTCCAAGAAGAGTCCCTGGAACTTAAATGATTCTGTGGTTAAGGAGTCATGGGGACAATGACATTTTGAGAAGCATCACAACCAACAAAACAAAGCATTAATCACCTTCACGTTTTGGGTCCATTTACTGATTGTGAAAGCTCATAACTAGAAAAACGTTTCATCCATGGATTTCGCACTCCATACATTGGTATTGTGATGTGATGGTTATGGTAGAATTTTCCCTTACTGTGAACTTTCCTTAATTTTTTCTTTTTCATTAAATTAGATCAAGGTAGACTGTTCTTGTTATGGAGCATATGATATGTGGAAGCTATATTGACCTTTTGAATTTCTGATGCAGAAAATCTGATAGGACATCAAATAAGTCATGGTAAGTTTCTTCTGCCGTCTATATCAATACAGTCATATATAGATTTTTGTCCATTTGAAATAACTCAAAAGGTAGAATGACATGAGGGCAGATATAGCAGATTTGTGTAGAAACTCAATTATTTATCTTGTTGTAAGCAATCAGGAAAAGTCCTAATTTTTGCCCTGAAATTTTCTTGCTGTTTCTTTTTCATACTGACACACTTAAAGACAATGATCAAGCCCATTACCCTTTCTAAAATGTGAATTAACTAACCGGTTGAAGAGCTAATCTTTGTTAATTCTTACAACAGGGGTGAAAATTGAGCAAAAGCCTTGAACAGAATCATTGCCAATTAATTTACCAGTGGTTTTTCCTTTTTCTAGTGTAATAATTAAGGTTTAACAGTTCAGAAATCATGAAGCAGTGGTGCATGTGAGTGTATAAAGTTTTAAACTTTTGCTGTTTCAATACATAGATACAAATATAATTTGATTTCCACCATCATCATTACCATGTGGTGGATCAGTGTATGCTGAGAGGGCATTGATGAAGATCTAACCTGGGATCCAGCTCAATCAAGCTGATAACGAAAGCTATCATGAAAAAACCTTGACTATTATTACCAAAAATTAAAACTCTCAAAATCCCCATCTGTTTACAGCTATAACTCAGCAGAACAACTGAGGAAATTTGGGTTTTGATTTATAAGATTCCTGGTTTTGAAACGGTTGCATTTTAAAGATCCATGAAAGGGAAAGGATGATGAAGATGGTGTGACAAGATGAGTAGGCTGCTTAATTTTGTGTAGACAGAAATCAGTGTTTGTCACTTTTTCCAACTCTGTTCCAAAAGCAAAAAGGGTTTTCTTGTGAGTTTAAAGTTCTGAATTTTTTTATTATGGTTTCAATTTGGTGGCTTTCTTGACTGAATTCAAATTTCACACAGCAGTCAATTGGGGACAAAAAAAGGAAAGCATTGGCAGACACAAATTGTTCAAATTGAGGAGAAATATGATCCACCCACCAAAGGGTTTTCATGAATTTAAAGAAATCTTTGCTCATCATGAATCATGAGCATGCTTTTGTCAATTGACATTGTTTCTTCCATTAGAACCCTAATTTTGAATCTGTTGTTATGTTGCTGAATTTAATTTATCATGTTCAACAAGGACAATTGCTTAAACTAAAACACACATGAAGTGATATGTAAAGGCTTTCTAGGATTGAGATGTAAACAATTCACCAAATATTTTCACCCAAATATAGACTAATTACAACAAGATTGAAGCATATATGTGTGTGTATGTATGTATATATACCCACACACACACACACACACACACACACACACATATATATATATATATTCACATCCCACAAGAGCATAAATCAAAAGGACTTATCTTTTCCTTTTCACTTGGATTTTTAAGCAAAAAAACTTCAACTTCACAACACTTCACATAATCAACTCTTAGCCATATTTGAATTTATGAATATTGGACTTAAAATTTTTCCATAAAATTATATATATATATATATATCCTAAAAACTTGTTAATGAAGTCAAGTTAATCACAAAAGGTATATAATTACATTACAAACCCTTAATTACGGCTAAATTAAGACCCTACAAAGTGATTATCAAAACAAAATTTCATCATTATCTTCTCCTACAACTAATATTGACTTTAATCACTTTGTGACAAAATTTTATTATTTCAAACTTTTTCCAAAGAACAACAAATTTCATTGGAAACGTAAAATGGGTGTCACATAATTCCGAGCTATTCACACACACACATATATATATATATATGTACACATAAGTTTGTATAATAGGGTTCCTATCAATTTTTCAATTTGAAACTATCAATTCTTATACAACTAAAATGAAAATAGAATTTTTACAAATAAAATTTAAGATTCTTAATCTCTTCCGACTAATTCGTCAGTACAAAATTTAACTCAATCGTTATAATTTTAGATCTATTAGATCAGATACTAATAACGAAATTTAAAATTTTATTAAAATATAAATTTATAAACTTTAAAGAAAATATTGATATTTTAATTTATTATATGGTAATTTTCAAATGAATGTATGTATGTATATATATATATATATATAGATTTAAAAATTTCCACTAAGAATAAAAGATTTAAGTTAGTGTATGATGGTAGAAGCAACCCAACTAATAAAACATTCATTCCCCACCTTGAAAAGAAACCATTAACACCTAATCATCTCCTTAATTACTTTTTTAAACTTGTTTAATATTTTTTTAAGTAAATATACAAAAAAATTAAATAATTAAATAAATAATTTAAAAATAAAAATAGAAATAAAACAAATGGTGGAAAAGACAGTTGCCAGCTGTATGGCAACCAAAACCCTACACTCTAAGCCACCCTGTCCATCCTCCGGGCAGCTCACCGGTCAGTTTTTTCTCTCACCCAACTGCCACCCCAAACGTTCGCTTCAAGCTTTCGGGCAGCTGCCCAAAACTCTCTTTCTCTTTGTTTATAATCCCTTCCTCCCACTTCCCCTTCTTTTCATCCCTCTAGGCTTCTGCAATTTCTGTCTACCCGCAAAAATCCAGAGGATACCCAGTTGCCCTGAGGTGTACCTGACTTAATTGCTCTCTTGAACCCTGATTTTTCTCGTATCTAGAGTCGGCAATTTTTTACAGACTCTTCAGGCATGGAAGCAATGAAGATGAAGCTCTTTGTGGCTCTCATGGTGGCAGTCGTGGCTTTCTCCGCCGTGCAGAAGGCTGCAGCTGCTGATGCTCCTGCGCCAACCCCTGCATCTGATGCAGCTCTCTTTGTTCCTACCTTCTTTGCCTCTCTTGGTGCTTTGGCTCTTGGGTTTCTCTTTTGAGCAAACCAAGAATGTCAAAGTCCTCATTTTTAGATATAGAAGAACATGGTTTCTCTGATTCTCTCCATTTCTCCTTGGTTCATTATCTGTTTTTTTTTTCTTCTCTCACCTCTGATGGTTTCAGCCAACTACCTCTGCTGTTTGGTGCACGAGAATGCGAGAAAAGAAGGAAACGGGATGGAAAAATTCTCCTCTTTTTTGTATTATGTTATTTTGGAGATGTAGTTTTAAGTTTAATCATTATGATTTTTATTGTTTGAGGTGAGGTGTGATTGTTGTGTTATTTGAGATATTTGTATTACATTGACTTTTGTTATATATATATATATATATATATGAATCTTCTTCTGTAATTATCTTTGCTTAGTAGGGAGGAGGATCTTAGGGTAATTAGGAGATGTTGATGGGTGGGATTATGATATGTTTTGATGGATGATGTATAATGGAACTTAATTACCAGCTTACTCTCATTTGTATCTATGATTTATTCTCGTAATAAAAATTGATTCTTGTTTGTTCTTAGGCTTCTATAGTTGGTTTATATTTACTATGAGAATTATAAAGAGTTATAGAGAGAGAGAGAGAGAGAGAGAGAGAGAGAGAGAGAGAGAAGCAAAATAAGGGAGATGAAGAAAAAAGGGTTCCTTAAATTTTGATTTTTGAAATTGGGGAAGAGAAGAGAGTTTTAACTGTTCAATGATCTTTTGGATCTTGAATTACCCATTTGACAATTTTTTGAAAACATGTCTTCTTTACATTTGGTTTTTGAAACTGGGTTTTCATAATCTTGAATTAGGAACTGGTAACTTCTTGGAAGAAAAAGGAAAATGGACACCACCATACTGGTAATAATTTTTGAGAAATGGGTGTTCCTCAAAGTTGATTTTTATTGAATAGTTTGGGAAAATGTTGTGGTAAGCAATGAGCTGTAAAGTTTTGGCAGATTCTCCTGGAGATGGTTTGAGTGTCAGCATGACAGTTTTTTGTAGGGTTTATCAAAATGTAGTAAATTGTTGGCATTGCCCTATTTGCTTTCCATGTGAGTTAAAGAGGCTGGAATTGCAAGAAAAGTCATGAAGCAAAAAGCTTCAAAACCCAAAAATCAATAATGTTAAAGTGGGTAAAAAATATGGTTAAAATTGTGAAATATGTATATATATATATATATGTATATATATAATAAACACACTAATGAATTTAAACATGAACATAATAACTTCCACTTCTTTCAGTCACTTTCTGTATTTCATTTGTGTATGGCTCAATTTTATGAGTCATATTTTATAATAAAGCATCCAAGAAAATATTCTCTTGTGCCATGGAGAAAATTAATTTGAGGCCATGTGATTGTGATTGTGACCTTACCATCTAGATATTCTTCAATTACAGCCATACATGTATGTATATATATATATATATATATTTATATATACTATTACTATTATTGTTATTCTGTTAATTCATTTCTCAGTCTTGCCCTGTAAAAATTATAGAAACTAGAACCACAATCTTAGATTTTCAAATTGCTTGTGCTTCATTTTTGGTTTTGATTTGGTCTTCACCTTCTCTTTTCTTAACTTTGACTACTTTTTAGTACAAGAAAATCATTTTTAACTTTCATAAACACACACACACATAGATATATATATATATATACATTGTGGGTGTATCAGAGGCTGCTTTCACCTATAATCAAGTGATTAACTCAATTTATTGATGTATTAAATGAGAATTCAATGGTTGAGTTGATTTAATATCTTTTTTTTTTTATAAACAAACATATATCTAAAAGAGAAAGGGGAAAAGAATACCAGAGAAAAAAAGGGTTAAAGAGAATAGTGATGATGTGAACCAGTTAACAAACATCACATGGTTGCTGGGTCTGAGAAAGCTGTGCAGACCCACCACCATGAGCCATTTCTTTTTTAGTAGACAAACTCAAATATACTTGTTTCAATAATTTATACCATATCTTTTTGTTTAATTATTCTAAAAGCTGTAAACCCAGTTCAATTTTTATGAAAATTAAGAATAGTACTTGACACTGTAACTCTGAATTGAAATCTAACATTGTATAATACTCAGTTCCATCTTTATCAGAAGCAGTAATTGCTTGTATTTTTACATGTACATTCATGGTGAGTTTGAATAGATGCAAGACTACTTGTTTTTTCTTTTTTTTTTGTAAATAGAGAAGTAAAATCATTATCCCATTTCAATTGAATAGCTTTGAATAGTATCTCAATTATAAAATGATTGTAGCTGATACCAAACCCCCAAAATCCACATGCATCACACAAAGCAAGATAGTTGTAGGTATATATATGTATGTATATATTAAATAAAGAAAGTTTTTAACAGAGATCCAGAAATGAGATGGGTTGCACATGGGGTTTGTGAGCAAAGAGCCAAAGAGGAAGAGTTAGGGTTAGTTGGCTGGGTGGTGAATTTCTAAATAAAAATACTAAATTGGGGAAGAATCAAGTGGATTCATTCATGAAGATTTGCTTCTCTCTTCCTGCTCATTCTACTTTCTTCAAAAACTTGGGATATCTTGTAAAAACTCAAGAACTTGAAATGAAAGGAATTGAAAATTGAAAACAAACATTTGACTAAACCTACATTACATTCCCCAATTACAGTGCCTTCAAAAATATTGTTAAAGAGTAGATACAATTCGATTAGAAATCTGCGATTTTACTGGGATTTGACGATGATGATGATGAACTCGCTTTAAATCATCAATAAGTATCATAAATGAATTCAAAAACCGATCGTGAATCCGATTTACCTGGTAGAGAGAGGAACATCTCAAAGCATTCCTCTTGAATGATGAGAAGGATAAAGCAGATAGACTGAAACCGGCACAACATAGATACAGCCACTTGACCTTACCTAAAGAATTTACTGCATAAATGGCTCTAATGGGTTTTTGGGGTTTTTCCTTTTACATGATAATACATAACAAAACTGTATCTAAGATACTAGGACTTCGTGCTAGTCGGGGGTAAAGTCCCTATCTATCACAACATCTAATTATGCTGGTAAAAGGCCGATCAACTAATCTTAATGTTAATTTACATGCTTTTTTAATCGACAGCAATACTACTTCTTTCTGTTAGACCTAACTATGGATTCCCAGTTGTTTTATTTTCTTTCTGGGAATTCAACAGCGCTAAATATAAATATCAATCACCTGCACTACATGTACACCCTAACGTTATGAGTTATTGTACACACGGTCATGGTTGCAGACAAACCAAGCTTTCAATGTCTGCTTGATCATCTTTGCTGCTGCTGCTGCTGCTTTTCAAACCTGTGGCTTGTCTGGATGCCGAGAGAGCTCTTTCTCGGCAAAATGAAGGAGCCTTCTCAGTCTCAAAACCATATCACAGTGAAAAGGCAATGCAGTTCGTCGGTCTAAGTATGCTGGGCTCACTGTCATCCATGACAAAGCATGAAGCTCCACCGCAACAGATTCGAGAATTAAATGAGTTTCGATTTCAAAATCTCTGGTTTCTGAGCTTGAAGTTCTTCCCCCTTGTCTTACAGCTCCTTGCATGATCTTTTCTTGGTTAATACTATTACCCCCGTAATAATCAATGAGACTGACTGAAAGAACCGAAGGCCATTCTTCTTTCACGGTGATCCTATAATCCTTCCTCATTGAAGGTACAGCTTTTGAAACCACAAAACCGGTGGATAGGGGGATTGCAGAGCCCTTGCTGTGAAGGAGGTGAGCAAGTGGTGGGGATTCAGCAGTAAGACAAGTGGGCAGCTGAAGAGGCGTCGAAGGCAGAAAGCGCATACTTGGTGATGGTATCAACATGTAAGAGACGGACGCAGAACCAAGAGACTTCACAGGGGTAAACCCTTCCAAATAGCCTCCTAGACCCATGCTACTGCCACCCTGAGTTCCTGCTGCATAATGATATCAGGAGAAATACATACCAAAATAGAATGTAATCAGTCATTTCTTTTGGCACTGAAATATCTTGGGTGCTCAAAAACCAAATAAATTTGTAAATATTCACAAAAATCCTCTCTCATGGTTCCTTTCTTGAATGTTTATAATGAACTTAAGCAGAAACATCCAGCAATGAACCATAGAAGCAGCTACATAAAAAATTTGGTTAAACCAGTTTCTCATTGCGGATATCAAATTTTCCTAAGTAGACTTTTCAAACCTCTGATTAAAAAAGTAACAAAAAGGGCTTGCTGTAGTCCATTTGATTGTTATAGGCAATGAAGAGGAGAAGAAAACAGAATGGAATCATTAAGATCCCAGTAAAACATGACCAAAATCACTTATCAATAAAGAGATGCAGCCCAAACTTCTTATTTTAGCAAGCAAATACAAATAAAAGATATAAACCATTTTTAGAAAACATAGCACGTGTTAAGTACATGAAGGTTGGGAGCTTACTAGGAGATGGTGAATCTGCCTGAACAGCTAAATGCAAAGAATGGTCAATTGCAATTGCAGCAAAACTGATGCTCCGCACCCACTGAAGCAAACCTCTTGAATTGTCAGTCATTGTGTGCCCACCCATAAGCTGCTTTCTTCCAGCTGGTTGTCCCAAACCACCTTTCATAAACGTCTTTGAGTGAGGACTATACAATGGACTAGGAGAGGAAGGCAGAGTTCTATCTTGAACCAAACTTATCTCCTGCTGCTGCAAGGAAGACCCGTTACTGCTTGGAGGCACTCCATCAGGTACGGATCGACGCAGTTGGAGGGGCCATTTCTTAACCTCAGAACCACCAGCTGAATAAATAGCCTTCTGCCACTCTGCTTAATCATATTGCAGAATGTCAAATTACAAAACATTTATCACAATCACAGGAGATCAGCATCCAATTTGACATTCCCTTTTAAAGGGCTACACAGATAGAGTTTTCAGATATTTAGCACTAGCGATGCATGGCATTGTATCAAAAAGGAGAAAAGAAATTAAGGAAAAAAATGGACAATGCAGGCACTTGAGCACCTGATACACTGTCTACTTGAAATGGTAGTCATTTTCTATCATCACCACAAGCAAGCAGTTCAGTACAAATAAATATTAATAGAAAAAAGAGATAAAAGTACAAAGCCGGAGGACTAGAAATCCTTGTAAAAAGAAAAGAAAAAAAGTGCATAAAGATAACAAACGTTCCAGTTCCTTTGCAAGATAGCCAAAGGGACATCCCTAAAATAACCATGAACCTTAGCCCACAAAGCAGCAAAGAGAGCATATTACAGGTAATAATATTCTTGAAAATATGATTGAATGCATGATGTTATTCTAAAATTCTCTTAGAATATTATTGTAGCGCATAATGGGATTCCCAACAAAAGATCTGAAAATAGAAGATGAATGGTACAAGTAAAAATACCTAGGTATTCAAGTTCATAGAAATTTCCAATGCGTGTGATCACAAAATCTCTGGGCTTTGCAGCTCCAGTATCGGGAGAAGAGCAAGCCTGAAGTATTTGACAGCCCTGCTGGAGAACTTGCAAGAAAAGACATTGTAGACCCTTCGTATCCTGTCTACTGCTTATTCCAGCAAATGGGAATATATGGCTATCAAGCAATTCACCCCTTGCGTCTGTCCAGATGCATACGAGCCAGCGCCAGTCCTCTGTCCATCCATAGCAACAGTGTAGGCTTGGAAGAGCTTTTTGATGTCCATAACCAAAATTATCAGACTCAGAGCCATCGAGCTGAGAAGATCCAGTATCAACTCCTCCCACTGAACTTGTAGTTGGCAAGAAGCTTCCGCTATTATCATCAGATAATGGCTTCAGAGACTCTGACATCACATTACCAAAAAATGCAGGTGAAACTCCATGCTCTACAGAACCAGGCTCTGCAAGAATAAAAAGTGGTTCAAACATATAACGGATTTCATCATGGTGACATAAATCTCCATTTCTGGTTGGGTCACAACTTAATCCTCCAGTCCTTGTTGTCGGCCATGTATTATCCCAAGTGTTAGACCTCAAGCTGGCATCAATTTCACCCTCTCTAGGAAGGGAAGGTCCTGTAATTCGGGAACCAACACAATCCTTCCACATACCAGAAAGAGAACTCATTTGCGTCATGACCGAATGAGATCTACCAGATAATGATGATGACCGGACAACATCATTACAAGATCCCCGTGAAATTCGTCGAGCCTTATTGTATATAGTGAAAGCTGTTTCCTTAAGAACCACAAGTTCGTTAAAAGCTGGGCCTGTAACCCGAAAAATGGCATCAACCGTCACAATTTGCAGCACCAATCTGGGGATGCTAAACCCTGAAAGTACTGGAATATTTGATATTGATGCTTCGTCAACAGCTGCTGAACAATTTAATGCCTTTCCAACCTGATTATAAAATATAGATCTTTCTCTATCCGAAGGGAGAATAATTGATCCAACAGCAATAGAAGATTCAATAATTGTCCGAAGAACTGCAATTGGTTCAGGGAATGGGCATACCACATATATCACCTAAACACAAAAAAACAGGTAAAATAGGAGACAGGTGAACACCAACAAATTTTTGGCTGGAGCATGTATAATGTTGAGGCCAGTTATCATTTTTCTAATGTTACAAAGCAGTACAAACACGCTAAACCTTAATTTTTATGACAATATCTGTTTTTTACATGTCAATCTAATGATTTTCACAGAATGGGTGCAGTAGTATTTTCGTTTTCAGTTAAACAACAGGGCTTTCAATTTCCAAATTCCATATATGCAAAGCTTAAGAATATATTTACTTCTAGCATTCCTTATTCATGACGATTGAACTCAATATAGCTGAACTATATAACAAAGTAAAAGAAGGTTGCTTCTTTCCAAAAAGAGTATAAAAGAAGAGTTTAATTTACTAGCAAAATAAAGTCCTGTTGAACAATTCCCAAACTGCAATGCAATTAAAGCTGAATGAAAAAAGAACAAAGGAAAACAGAGCAAGTGATTAAGAATGGCGTGTACAACATGTATAGGCTCTAGCTAAGAGAAGTCAAAATATGGTACATTCTTTTTTTGAAATAATTAGTATAAATCCATTGACTATGACCACCAAACCAATGCAAACCCATGTGCAAAAATGAGCATATAAAACATTTGAAAATGAGCATATAAAACATTCATAAAATGGCAAGTGTAAGATGCTTTACCATCTCTAAACCCCATCTTAAAATCCTATGATAAAGAAGATAAGTGCTTTAGAATCCAAGAATTGCATTCTAAATGCTAAAGAAATTAAGACTATCAACTACAAACCACATCCATTCAAACTGCTAGTAACCTGTACTGGAATAAAAAACAACATACGGAAAACAACTAGGTTTCCTTCAAGAAACGAAGCTATAAAAGAATCCTGAAATCAGACACATACTAACAGCTCATTTAATTCATTTCCCATTCAATTCCTAGTTCTAACTTTTATATTAGCCTTAATTTGCATAATAAGAACATCATTTTTTGTGTTTCAAAAAAAAATTTATTTGAAGTACCTCCATTCCCACCTTTAGATTCTTTGGGCAAGGAATTTAATTCCTGGTAATCAAAGGAACTACATTCTCACCGAGGAATTCAAAGCCGGGATAGAGGTAGCTCGAACATAAAAGATTATATTCCAGTCATACATGTGAAGAGTAATATGAAAACCATAACTGGGGATTGGTAAGTAAACCCAAATGAGACATACGTATATTCGTCAACAATGACAAACAGACACCTACTTTTGATAAATCAAATAGGACAGGCAGGTGACAATCCAAAACAGTGGAGACTCAATTCCGCAAAGGTGACAGTCCAAACAATTAAAGAGAGTTAGTAATATTCAGATTTTGTACTGTATGAGTAAATTTCGTGCTATCATAGATAATATGAAAGAATTATTTGGAGAAAGTTTACAATTAAATTGATTTTATTTCTTTATTTGCGAGTCTTTTTTAATAGAAAAGTATGCTAACATATTTAAGGGCATCAACATGGTGCAAACCTACATGCAGAAGTATTTACAGATCAACCAGGATATTGCAAGTTCTTTATTTGCAAGTATCTTAATGTCTATATAAAGCTATCCTTTTTAGGGTTTTGCAATAGGTTGATTTGGAATAAAATATCATCTGACATTTTGCTTCCCTGTCTTCTCTCCATTTTGCTTCTCTCCCTCTTTTATTGTCCTATTCCTTCACATTTTTCTCCCTTGACCTACAGTAAGGTTGCATGCACAAAACAAGTCTGACAGGAATTAAGTAGATTCAACGGAAACAAAAATCTCAAAAGCTGACAGGAATTTGTTAAATTCAAATTTGCATCATTTTAAGTGTCAAAAGAACTAAAACCCCCATGGGATACACCACAAAGCACAAAATTGCACATAATTCATACTTACCATACAAGGACTACTATTTCCTTCTTTTTGGCTTGTGGATAGGAATAGACCAAGCTTTAAAGTTTTCAGAGCCTTTGAAAGAGACTTGAGATAGCTAGTTAAGTCCCAACCATTCGACAAAGACAAAAAATAATCACTTATAGATCCCAAAAGAGATGCATTACTGCTCTCAATTTTCATTGATTGAGGGCAATCAAGTAGAACAAAACCAGATGAGGACCACTTTCCAGAATCTATCTCCATTTGATGTCCCAAACTTTGAGGCGAATGAGTTCCCAGTTTGCATGTCTCATAAACTGTAAGGGTGGGGGAAGCACACACATTTTTAGTACCAAAAAAATATAGAAAGTATTATACAGACAATTTCCAAGCTGGAAAACAGAATATCTTTAAATTAAACATAATGCTTAACAATTGTCTTCCTGAGAGAATAAAGAAGGATATATTTTATTTATGTGATCAAAATTCAAGTATGACAAATAATATAGCCTAAGATGTTTGTTCCCTGTGAATCTGTGGCATAATGCAACTAACATAAACCATTTAGAATTTTACTTGAGCCAAAATACCCTTTATACTCGTTACACTTCAGAATTCTTTTCAAAGAAAACAAAGAGGTGAGAGAACTTTGACTAGGTCTATTTCCCAAATCAAGAGAAGTGTTCTTTTCCAAGAGAAGGATCATATGACATCGCTACTCTTCCTTTACAGAAATTGTTATCCTTAAATAAAAGAAGACAATACGGAAGTCCCATTACTATGCATATCAAACATCTACCATTGATTCACTCACCAGTTCCAAGTTGCTGGAAAAAATCAGCAGCAGCCGAAGTAAGGGGATCAATATCTGGGCATATGACATTATAAATAATCTGCAAGGAGTATAAGCAATAAGTTGAGGTATCTTCAATCAATGATTATGATCTATCTCTTTCAATTTCAAAGAAAGATTAACCACTGGCTTCTAGAATCTTACAGCTTTTTGTAGAGCGTAAGGCTCAAGAGGAGCCTTTTCCCAGAGTTGTAAAGAGCTTGCTGATGTCTTAAGCCAATCATCCTGGTACCTATATATGTAAATCACTGTTTGCACCTATCTTTTCTGAATAACAAATTGAAGACATAGAGCAAATAATAAACTTAACCATTCTCATGCTTTTGTAACACTTACATGGTTTCATCTTTATACAATGACAGCAATTAATGGAAAGAAGGTAATTAGGTTCCCCTTATCATGCCAACCACACTAAAAGACCCTGCCTGCCAAGAGCCTCTAGACTTGATGGTACGCCCCTTTTCAAATCCCTTCTTTGTTACAAGGTTAAGTGAAGTTCTTACTTATAAAAGAAAAAAGAGCAAGAATCACAATAAAATTCTATTAAGATGTTGCATCACATTGTTAAAAATCAGCACTAGAATGTTTCACGCATGTACTTGCATCCATTACTCAAGTGTTATTAGGTGAGAAAAAAAACAAGTCATTTCTATCACTTGTACGCTTTTAGGAATAGTTCATTCAATCATTAATGTAGCACAATAATGAAACAGGAGTCTTGAGACTAATGTGAGAACCTAATGCTTCCAATTAGCATTTATCCAATCCACAATTGGAACTTTGCACAAAATCTGATTATTTGCCTTGAATCCATTTGAGTTTTTATTTATACGTTAAGCTCAAGTAACAAATGAGAGAACGTGTTAAATTGTCATGATTGAATAGGGTCTTCTCGCTCAACCTAAATTTTTTGAGTAATTGGTCATCTAAACAAGTATTTAATTCAACAAACATAAAGTATGGTGCAACATTTAACGGGTCCAGTGGAACTGATTAACCCATCACCTCAGCCTAATACCAAACATTAGCCATTGAAACCGTGAGTTTATACACTTGGAAATATTCTTTTACCACCTCATTAAAAACCCTCCCATTAGCCAATTCAATGCCAATTCCATGTTGGCAAAGTATTTTGAAAGCTCCAGTTCCTTTGGAGGTAAAGGTGTTTACATGAATGGCCATACATCAAAAGGACTTGACACCAGTGAGATGTTACAAGTCCATCGCCCCCCACCGCACCTTATCTATAGATATCTGTGTACTTTAGAGGAGAAGAGACACACTCCC